AACCCGTGGGGCTGCCCAAATGAGCGCCGCTCCCAGGACACACCGACGGACCAGACCACTGCCCCCAGGCAGCCCCGGCCAGCCCGTGCTGAGGCCACCTGGGAAACAAGCTTGGCAAAGCCAGCCAGACCCCGCTCAGCACCGCTGCAAGGTGGCATGAGGAGCAACGGGCTTCCCGGCACCCCCGGCAGCCCCAACCCCAGCGAGACCCAGGGCTGTAAGCGCCAGCCCGCCGCCCATGCCCCAGCTCCAAGGCTGTGCAAAGCCGCCTTTACTGTTCCTCTCTTCCCACGGCTGCTGCGCTGCGAAGCCTTTTGATTTCCCCCAGCCCTGTTTGAAGTTTGCAGCGCAGAAGGATTTAAAGATTGAAATTTCTCCCTTTTTTCCCCCCCAACTCTCTCTCTTCTACTCTTCAGAAGGTGAAAGCTCTCTGGCGACCCTGCAAATCCCCGTGCGAGCAGCAGCCTGCGCGCTGGGGCTGGTGCTCTGGAGATAAGGCTCGTGCGGGGCTGGGGGGGCAGCGGTGCCAGCACAGTCACCCAGCAGCTAATCTCCTGGGGGAGGGGGCTGCTTCTCTCTGAAATGAAACTGCTCCTGCTCCGCATGGAAGCAAGGTGAGAAACCACCCTCTGTGGGACACTGCCAGCTCTGACGTGGAGGGCAGCACGAGCAGCGCTTACCAAGTAGCTCCGACCAGCACACGGCCAGCATTTAGACCTGGCCTGGGCTCAGGGCAAGGACTGGCATTGTCACCTGCATCCCCTGATGCACCTTCTCTCTGCAAGGGGCTCATGGGCTGCTGAGTCCACCCAGCCCTGGGGAGGCAGGAGCAAGGGGAAAGCCTCAAGCCTGGCTCAGCCACACTTGGCATGAGATGCTCCCCAAGCCCCCAGCAGCCTGGCACCGCCCCCCCCGAGCGACCACTGGTGAGGCAGCACTCTGGGATGCCACCACTTGGACACCCGCTCAGCGGGAAGCTGTGCCACGTCCCCACTCCCCTGTGTCCCCCCCAGCAGTTTGCCTCTCTGGCCAAGGCAAGCGCGAGCTCGGTTTGGGCCCAGCCGCCTCCCGCTCCCCGGCTCAGGGGTCACCCAGAAGCAGCCACGAGGCCCTGGGGACAGTTCTCGCTCTCCCTGAGGGCCACTCTGCAATGAGCAGGCAGAAATCTGCCTGATTTATGGTGGTTATTAGGCCTCAGCTGATATGATGCTGAGCCCTGAGGCAGGCTGGAGGCCAGCGTGCCTCCCAGGGGCGGGAATGCCATGGCCAGGGAAGAAGGCAGGTTGCAGGGTGCCTGACACCTTTGGCATTCCCAGCCCACAGCAGGAAAGCCCAAGTGCCCCTTTCCTGGCTCCCCGCAGCAATCACCCAGCCCTGGCCCCACAGCCCCCCCATAACACACCGTCTCACCTCAGCATCACACCCAGGGCTGCCCCACGTCAGCTCTGTGCAAGGGGAAGCAGACGGTTAAGAGAATGACCTGCTGCAAATGAGGGGGGGCGGGCAGGGAGGGAGGGTACCAAAAGAAAGGCCAAAGCTGGTTGGAGGCACTGACCCCCTGGGAGGTATTTTAATCACAAATGCTCAGCCTTTCTGATTAAATCCTGTGGCTGGAGAGCTGGTGCCTGGTGAATATTCATAGAGCAGAGCAGGAGCCCTGGAAACATGCCTACAGGGAAAGGAGCAGGGAGAAAGGACACTAAGGGCCCCTAAACCCAGCACCAGGTCATCATGTTTGTACCTCCCAGATCAACAATTACCAACTGAAAAAGCAGCAAAGCTACAGTAAGAAGAGCAGCAGAAGGATGGGCAGCAGCTCTTCCTGGGAAGCTGTGCTGCCAGCCTGGGAATGGAGCTCCAGACCTGTGCTGGGAATTCCTCAGGGGGAGCAGGGCTGCCAACTGCTGCCCAGGGTAGGATGCCCTATGGTCACCCCAGAGGTCTGATCACCAGGCAGCACCCCAGCCCGCTGGATGGCACGAGGCTTGGACTCCAGCAATGCTCCTACCCCAAGAGGCCTGGGGTCACTGGCAGGGGCTCCCCTTGCCTACAGCAAACATCTTGGCCTTCAGCCTCTCGTGGAGCTCCAGGGATTGGGAACAGGGCAGCCCAGCTCAAACAGCCTGCCTGGCCGAGGAAGGGGATGCACCCCCATCCCTCACACAGGGGGACCGGCAGCTCAGAAATGGGCTCCAGTGCATCGCTGCCTGCCCTCTTCGGAGTGGCAGAGCCAGCGTCCCAGAAAGAAATATAATATACAAGAAGACTCCAAAATTGTTCCCTAATCAGGAACGGAAATCCTTAAGTCTCCCACCCCTATTTCATGGGCAGCACCTCCAGCTGTGATGGACCCAACAAGGTAGGAAGATCCTGGGGTTGGGCTCCTCAGCTGAGAAGAGGCATTCAAGTTGGGAAAGGCCAGGGCAGCCCTGGGACCCTTCACTGGCTTGAAAAGATGGGTCTGATGTGTTCAGACATAGGAACTGGGACAAATGTGTTCCAGGGGGGAGTGTCTTCCTTGCCAGGTTGGGATTTTAGGTGAGACATCTTGGACAAATGGGTCCCGTCACCAGGGACAGGTCCTGGGCTGTGGGCCGAGGGGAGCTGTGCACAAAGAGCTCGAGGAGAAGAGGGGAACGCAACAGCCACAGCCGAGTGCGGCTGAGCCTCCACCCTTGCCACCAGCCCAGCAGCCTGGCCCAAGGAAACCAGGCTGGAATGGTCCAGTCAACACAATTCCAGTCTCCCGCAATGCCCTGATCTCACAGGCACTGCTCGCCATCACCTAAACACAATGCCAGTCTCCTGCAATGCCCTGATCTCACATGGCACTGCTGCCCATCACCTCACTGTCCTGCATCCTCAGTGGCCAGGAGCCATTTTTAGCAGCCTTAGGTGCCCACAAGTTGTCAAAGAGCTGGGTTTTGAGGCTGTCAGTCTCCCCGGAAAGGCACTGGTTTGTGATGGCCCAAGTCTTCCCTGCCTCCTACAAGGGGCTGAGCTCAGACAGCTCACAGGCAGAAGGGCCCCTTGCCCAGCATGCAGGGGGATCCAGCCTCCCTCAAAGGGACCATAAAGCTGCCAGGCTCCCTCTTCGGCTGCCGGCCCTCGGGATACCCACCTGGGTGCTATCGCTGCCCTCCTGCAGGAGGAAGGTGCTCCGGCCCTGCGCCCGGGCAGACAATGCAGCCGGGTCGGCGTGTCCTGGCCGCCAGCTCTGCAAACCCGCTCGCCCGCCCTCCCCCTGCACACAGCGGCAGCATGGGGCCGACGGGGCTGCCAGCCGGGCGAGGGGCTCCGAAAACACAAGAAGGGGAACACAAAC